CAAGGCCTTTGCAAAGCCCATGGTGGAGGAGCGAGATGCACCAAACCCGGCTGTGACAAGAGCAGCCAAGGCAAGGGACTGTGTAGAACCCACGGTGGAGGCAAGCGCTGCATCCACCCTGGTTGCACGAAAGGAGTTCAACGGGGAAGCAAGTGTGCCACCCACGGCGGCATCCGGCAGTGCATTGTGGAAGGATGCTCTCGAATGGACCGTGGCGGTGGCATGTGCGACGGGCACCGAAAAGCTCGTGAGTGCATTGCCGTGGACTGCAAACGCCTCAGCCATGCCATCAACTTATGCAAATTGCACTTGCGCCAACAAGAATTACTCAGTGTCGCAGTGTAAACTCCAACCACCTAAATTTATTTTGCATTACCCAAATGTGGATGTCTTGATGCCAGGCTTTAACGAGGCTACGCCCCAAGTTCTTCTGCAGCACTACGGGGATCATGTGACCACTCAGCAACCAAAACTCTATTCATCAGTGCGCACATTGTACTTCTTAGTGGAATGTCAAGGTTGCTTTAGTAGGGTTTGTCCAGGCGAACCATCCAACCTACTATAGCTGCATGTGTGTATGCACGGACGATGTGGTGGACGAAAACGCGACGAGGCGGCGGGACTATGCACCGTGCTAGGTTCAGCATTCTGTTTGTTGCGGGCCACTGTTCGTCCTTGATGTCCTCGCGAGAGGCACGGATCGCCGTATGGACTCGTCAAACCCAGGAAGGGGTCAGGTGTAATGCATGTCAGCCTGATCATGCTGGTGTACCTACTCTTGGCAGGTACTTCTCGATCGCTGGGAGCCACGAATTCGAGTTGGGATGATGAGCCACCATACCACAAAAGACGATATCGTACGTGTGATTGGCTCTGCATGCGACACAGTGGTCAAATTCAGTTGTCGCGAAAATTTTTCGCCTGGTGAATTTCCTCCAAGAGTGGGATTCGGTACTTTACTGGCTCGAAACGTGCTGAATTCCGGGGGCATGTCTCAGTTTTGATTGTACGAAATATCAATTTCAATGCAGCTTTGATCAAGTTTATTATAGGAGTAAAAATTTGTATAGATTTTTTCAATGTAGTTGTATGCAAAATCCGGAGACACGTATTTCAGTACGGCTGTCGGCATCGCGTCGGACGCCAAAACTTTGACCCGCCCTCTCAGATCATGGACATGCCTGGTGGCCATCACTATTGAACTTGCCGAGTTTCGCGAAACATGGCATTGTCCAACAACTGCAGCGACCCATTTCTTGTGTTGGATTTGCCAACTAACAGCTCCTCGATTCACCAGGACGTGCAAGACTGGCTGTACTGGACCACCGTGGCGACGACGCCCCTCGACACCCCCCAAGACGACGCCACGTTGGATTTTGAGATCCTCTCGATGCTAGCGACTCCTTTTGAAATATACACGTCACCTTGCACTACCCCTGTCTCGGACTCGTCTGTTGCTCACTCCGACGCCATTGTCCCACACCAGTCCTGCAAACAACGAAGTCCGTGCGGAGTACAAGATTGCACACGATTGGCCCGACGCGGAAAATTTTGCCCCATTCATGGAGGAACCAAGTGCTGCAAAGTCAAAGCATGTGGAAATGCAGCGCAAACTCAAGGCCTTTGCAAGACTCACGGCGGCGGTCCCCGATGCCGAAAACCTGGGTGCGGCAAGAGCAGTCAAGGGGGTGGTTTATGTCGAGCGCATGGTGGTGGCAAGCGGTGCAATCACGTCGGTTGTAGCAAAGGCGTCCAGCGCGGTAACAAGTGCGCGACTCACGGCGGTACACGATTGTGCTCAGTGGAAGGATGCGTGCGTATGGACCGAGGAGGAAATCTGTGCGATATCCATCGCAAGGAACACAAGTGTGTCGTGACTGGGTGTAGACGATTGAGTCATTTGTTGGGCAAGTGCAAATTACACCTCCGCCAACAAACCAGGCTTGCGGCTCTGGACAAGACGGGGCAGTCATTTCTTACGCCGTTAGGAACCTGTTGAGTGTTGTCTTTTTAAATTTTGTTTGTGCTCAGTCGCACGAACTGACGATGCATGATGGAAAGGTTTTGCGAAAGTCCGTTCCAGTTCCCGGCGTAACTGAAAATCATTTTCCTTCAACAATGGGCTAGAACCGAATGCATCATCGACCGGGCATCATCGATATGCCCCGCATCGTTTCGTTGCTGCACTGATCGGACAAGTCAGAATAAACCAGCCAACTCCCGGAAGTTTTTTGCTTCGCGTTGAAAAGCAATTTCGTTGTGCCGTGATGGTACTCCCTTCGTTGCAGCGGGAAATCCTTCCATTGTCAAGTCAGACTACCAACGACAGCGTTTACTCTAAGCGCACTGAGCAACGTCGAACGCCCCGTGTACAGTTATACTGTGCGTACGATGCTCGACATCTTTGTGCAACACTAATAACAGCATCCACCTGCCACCTCGGTGGCTCGAACAACTCCTCCATGTGACCTGGAACATGGGTCGTTTGCACTTTGACTTACCCCTTGAACCTCTTGAATAAGATGTCATGCATACATGTACTTCGAAAGTAGCTGGTAATTGATTTAAATTGCCACAGCAAAAATATCGTGGATAAAAATGTCTCCCCGTCCGGGAATTGAACCCGGGTCACCCGCGTGACAGGCAGGTATACTGACCACTATACTAACGAGGATGTTCTTGTTATCAACCCATCAATATAAAACAGTTTCAAAACAAATGCATTCAATCGATTTGACCGTGTCCTTCTGCCCAATCAACGGTTTCTAGTTACTAAAACGTATAAAGCGTGATTGTAGGTCGACCTGACATTGGCTGAGGCAAAAGAGTATAAAACGTGAAAAATTATATACAAAATCAAATGAAAAGGTGAAAGGAACGCGATTATAAACATGAACTTTCACCCTGGGGTTGACTTCTTGAAAGTGAGGGATTCACTTCGGAACTTCCTCACATCATGTCCAGCGGGTGGAAGTGCATTGCGCAGCCGTCGAACGGTGCCATCACCGCCGTCCAGCTCAACAAGGACGACGAAGTGCAGTGTCTGGGCTTCAACAGCCACGACTGCGTGTACTTCCACACGATGGAAGATTGCCACAGCAACTTGAACCCATCGGAGACGCCCAAGCCGCTAGTGTGCGGCGGCATGCACAAGAACGTGTGGGGACACACCGGGTACGAATCTGCAAGTCACTGGTGCTCTGCGGGTCGCCATCACTTGGGCAACTTGCCCGCTACGTCGTTCTTGGCCACGGTGGAAGCCAAGAAGGTCGAAGTCGGCATGGGGGCGTTGGCCACATGCCTTTTCGCGTTCATGGCGCTCGTCGTGGTCCGTAAGTACAAGAAGTCGGGCTACCAACTCGTCAAGTAAACTGAAATACACTATCATGCTATCTGTACGAATTCGACACAGGACGTAGCCGCGTGGTTTTGAAGGGGCTTTTCCAGGTCACCGACAGAACCACGACATAGAATTGGCACTTCAGCTCGAACCGATTGTGGCACTTTGGTCGTGGAGCTCCGCACAGCAATCGAACGAACGCGATGACTTGTCAAATGGCCACCAGTGATTTCAATCGAACAAGATGGTCACCTCGTTTGATCGAAGAGCCACATGTGGAGGTGACGAAAGGATCACTGCGGTGCAGCAGTTGGAGCAAGAAGACGGTCGATATTGATTGTATTCGTGATGCGAGACAGCCCCCCACCGGCCAGCGCCCTCGCATATCGCTGACTATTCGATGTACGAACGATACAACCATCAACCACAAAACCCAGCCCCGCCAAAGGCAGCAACACACAAAGTTGGGGTCGTGCATGCTTCAGCTGTTGGGTTGCGATGCTCCAGGCATATCGCAGTTTACATTTACTTGGACTTGAAACGAAGCCCCACAAGATTCACCAAGATTCATGTGGTCAGGAACAACGTCACTGGAATCGTCGAACTACCGTGTTCCGATTTTGGTTTTTCGGGGGCCTTGCGGGGGTGTTTCAGTTGGTCACCGAACGGTGTCGACAGGTTCTACTATTCATCTGTACACGCTGTCGCAATAAATACTACTCGATGCAACTACCACGACTACTCGTTGCGGTGGCGCACCATGCGGAGGTGGGGCTTGCACATCCCCAGCGTATGGCTGAGTCGCTTGCACCCGTCGACGTGGCATTCACGTTCCTTGCGGTGGATGTCGCAATAGCCTCCGCCGCGGTCGGATCGTTTGCACCCGCCGACCGTGCACGTTCGACAGCCTCCATGAGTGGCGCACTTGTTGCCTCTCTGCACCCCCTTGTTGCATCCCATTTCACTGCACCGCTTACCGCCGCCATGAGCTCGGCACAGACCGCCGCCTTGGCTGCTCTTTTCGCATCCGATAAACTTGCACCGGGCGCCGCCTCCATGCGCTTTGCACAGACCTTGGGATTGAGCAGCGTTTGAGCACCCCTTGACGCGACAGCATTTGCCCCCGCCGTGGGATAGGCAGTAGTCGCTGTCCTGGGCATCGTTGGAGCAGTTGGACACTCTGCACACTTGATAGCTCCTGTGGGCGTTGCAGAACTCCCGGTGGCGTGCTCGGCGGGAGCATCCTGGCAGCACGCATAAGACGGCGCGATGTCGAGTCAATCGGATGGGAGTTGTTGCTTCATCCACACTTTCGTTGTCTGTGGCAAAGGACGCCTCGGAAGCAGCTTTGGAGAGAGGACTCGCCCACGGCTGAGGAGCCATGCTGTCGGACAACAGGAGATCGCAGATTTGTTGTTCAAAAGGATCGAGGGGGGCTGCGCTAGCCAGCAGCGACAAGAACGAGTTGTCAACCGGGTAATACGGGAAAGGTTCCATCGAGCAGCACATCGTGGGGGACGAAATCTGTGCCATGTGCCGTAGTGAAGCAAATGGGAAATGGCCCATGCAAACTCTCATCAATTCGCCTTGATCAAAACGAGGAGTTCGTTTGGCCAAGAACAACTTTCTGTCTCACCACGTAAAACGCAGCTGCGTGTTCATATCAGGCCCCGTCGTGGACTCCAAAAGTCATGGCGACGGGAGCACATAGCCCCACAAAAACAAACTGGCTACCTGTACACTTTCCAAGGTTAGACCACGACAAGCTGTTGCATGACATCCTGGCCCTCGTTGGCAATACCTGTGGCTGGGGTGCAGGTGTCGTACTGACCAGTCCCACGCTGAGTTCAGAGCACGGGCGCCTGCGCGCGGCATCCTCATCGACGGGCTACAAATGTTTGACTTTGCCTCGCGAAGATTCAATTCTGGTCAAGCAACAACGGGTGGCCGGCTTTGAAGCCGCACATTTGTGGCCACAATCTGGATGTGATCGTCGACATGCGACAGGAAGAACGACAGATCGTCATGTAAACCCGACCCGCGGGACGAAAACGTCAAGTGGTGGCAACAAGATAAGCGGAGGAAGATGCCGCCATACACCTCCAAGATTCATAGGGACAGTGTCGTTATGAAGCCATACTCGCTCGTTTGAGCTCACACGCGTCCTCGTGATCGCAAGATATCGTACTGCCGCCGCGAATACTATTCCACGTGACCATATGTACGTGTGCTATGGTGGGGTCATCTATTCAAGCTCGCGCCGCTGGTGTTGCGTTCGGTTTTCAGCGCGACAGCAGCTGCTCGCACACCACAAGGGGGAGCGACCACCATCTACTCACGAACCATAGTACCTTGAACTGCGGTAACTCTCGAGATGTCCAAGCAGAG